AAAAAAAACGGAATTAAACCGATCAAAATAAATTAACGTTGACACAAACGTTGACAACTTGCTTGACAAAAACAACAAGCACGTCAAATCCCGTTGTGTTTTACCTCAATTAACTCTATCCTTCTCGCACTGCGTTGGAATCAATAAATCGTCACCAAGGGCCGGTTCATAGTGAAACGTAATATGATATGATATCATTGATGTTGTTGTGTAAGCGGGTTAGAAAACGTACTAGTGAAGATTTTTAAGCATTTCACTTTATCGTCATCATAAATTGGAACAGACGAGAGTTACATAAGTGTATCAATTTTTTTTTCTCCGAATGACAGTAAAAGCGGCCTTTTAATGACACTTGACAGGATCAAAAGTTGTATTTTTACTGCCTAGGCAGTAAAAGTCCACTTTTACTGCCTAGGCATTAAAAGTGACAGTGTTACAACGTTCCAGTTAATAATTTCACTCAATTTGCTATTTGAAATTGATAGTGACAATGACAATTGTCAAAATAATTTAATTATTTGGATAATAATAATGAATGAAATAAATATAAAAAAGATGTCCATGTGTGAATTTGAACATTCGAAGAAAAAATTATATGTTTTACATGGCAGAAAAGCAGATTTAATGCCTCGGCTATGAAACACCAGCCGCGGCATTAAATATTGTACTTTTCTGTCTAGTAAAACAATAGTTATTTATGCACCTAGGTCAAAAAGTACAGCTTTAACGCCCGCAGCTGTTTACACGCTGAGGGCGTTAAAGCTCTTTTTGACTGAGGTGCATACAAGATTTTATGCACGATGAGCATGTTTTCATTTTGATATTTAAAAAAATATATATTTTCAATTTTGTAATGACATCAATCAAAAATATTTCAAAATATAAATTTTCATCTTTACCGCAATAGGTCCTAAGTTTTTGTCAAATTTAGATCAAGGAAACAGTTGTTGACAAAAGTATCACGTAACTATTATAGCAACCCAGAACAATACAAACAAATAATTATGTGCTGTGTGGTGGTGTACGTTTATGGTATTCTTATGATGGTAGTGCGTCTGAAAAAGGAGCAAAATAGCATGCCCAAGTTTATTCTAGAAGCAGTTGAAGAGGCCAAGAAACATGTATACCTTCAAAGTCCAAAAGACTCTATGAAAAAACATATGAGGACTTTATTTCCTGATGTGCCCAACATAGTGTAAATGAGCAGCAGTATTTTGTAGAAGAAACTCTCCTGGCCTGGCTTATACATTAATATGAAAAATGCAAAAAAAATAAGCCATCCACCCTATGGAGCTTTTACTCAATGTTGAAGGCAACAGTTCTTTTGTGTATTTCTGTGGAAAAGGGCAGGTTTTAAAAGTTGAAAACTGTAAAAATTGTATTTTCAATTTCAAAGTAGATTGAATTTTACCATTATTGCTTATTTTATTATTCTTATTAATTGAAATAAAGCTTGTTTTGTTGAAAAAAGTTGGTATTTTTTGGACTAAGCAATAGAAATACAAAAAGTTTTTAAAAAAATGACGAATTTTTGTTTATTTTTGAAACTTTCATGCCCGCGGGCATAAAAGGCGCCCTAGGGCGTAGAAGTACTACTTCACGCTTTAAAATGCGGGCGTTAAAGTGCACTTTCACGCCCGTTCGTGCATAAATAACTATTATAATCATAATAATAATTTTTTAGTTGCGTAGCAATCGTCTAACAAAGAAACAACTTACAAACTAGATTCAAAATCAAAAAAAAAAATGCTGCTCATCATTCAATGTCAATGTCTTTTCTTTGCCGACTGGTGCTAACTGTCTCTATTGAAAAAGTCGAATTGACATTGATGGTTAGGATTTAAAGTTCAATTCATAAGCGGCGCAAACATAAGCCACCTCCTTGAAACATCGGGGTTTCAAAATACGAAACAGTTTTTTTTTTTTTTTATTGTGAAAATAATTTCACATAAAATGTCTGTGCACTCGCGGTAAAGATATTCACATACAATGTCTGCACTGTAGTGTTGATTTGGTAGAATACAGACTTTAAGAACCGGTCTTTTAAAAATGCCTGATGAGGTTTTGAAAGTTACTGATCGTATTATACCATCATTTCCCGGGTGTAGTTCAGTTATTCTTCCTAGCTTCCATTTAAGCGGTGGAAGTCCATCTTCTTTAACGACAATCAATGTACTACCAATCTTCAAATTTTGCTGGAAGTTTTGTTTCCACTTGACTCGTTCTTGTAAGGCCGATATATATTCAATGGACCATCGTGACCAAAAATGTTGCAGTAACTTTTGCAATCTTTCAAATCTAGAGTCGGTTCTCGTTTATTTCATTATAGTCATAATCAGGAATTGATGTCAGTGTCTCGCCAATAATGAAATGTGCGGGAGTTAAAGGAGTTGGATCCTGTGAAAGTGGGCAAAGTGGCCTGGAATGGACCTTTCTCATGCAATGAACAACAAGGATAGTTTATTAAGATTTCTGCAATAAAGAAAGAGACACGTTTAATGACGCGCGATACCTGTGTGGAATGACTTTGATTGGTTCCTCTTGTCAAATTGTGCAATTTCGGTTATGTTTCTGTTTTTGTTTATTTTTAATCGTAAATATGACAGATATGTGGAGGAAAAGTTTTGGAAAAGCTTGCGAAAAACGAATTTGCAAGTGCTGACAAACCTTTAATAGTACAATTATTATTGTATTTGATATAGAAATCGTTATTTTACGAACCCTCAAATCTCTGTTCCAACTTAAATCGTCTCCAGTCAGGTTCAGAGCACGTAACCATTATTTTTTTACAATTTGATTGCTTGGGAACTTGTTAAAAAAAGGTTTGACTTCTTTTTCGCCTTACTCGGACAAGAATCGAGAGGCTTAAGAAGTGATAAGCCTTTTGGGATTATCGCGCTTGGTGGCAATATTGTTCATTTGCTATTAATAATAATAAAAATTAATAAGGTACCTATTAAAGTTTAGTTCGTTGTATAACCTTTTGAATACCACTCGAATTTTCAGGATTACCTAATACTTTTACCCGACACTCAACGTGTTACCAGCAACACCACTCCTCCTTCGGAGTCGTAGTGTTGTTGCGTAACGCGTTTCGTGACAGGTAAAAGTATTATCCGGTAACCCTGAAACGTCTTGTGGTATCACATTCGACAATAAATTCGGTATTCACCTGACAATAATGTTACCTGGACAATACCAACAACATGGTATTTCAGTGACCATCTTTTGACATTGTCAAACTGGTATTTTTAATTTGAAGTTTTTATTAATAATTTTGCATTCTATTTATTTTCAAAATCTTACGTGATAGTCATGACGAATACCACTCGAGAAAAAATTGTGTAGGCAAAATTGTTCTCAAGGTTTTATTCAAGTTTGTTGCTTTTCGGCAATTTCGCTCATGACATTTTTGATAAAATCACTCACCTGACGGCTCGTGATTTTGTCAAAACTGTCATTCGCGAAATTGCCAAGCAACAAACTTTCATACCTTTCGAAAATTTTGCCGATAAAATTTTTTCTCTTGTGATATTATATATGAAAAAAAATTGCCCTAACTTTTCCAGTGACAAAACTGAACCTAGCTTGACATGACCAGCAAAATTTGTCATTTACGTAGATATTCATTAAATTGTCTTACCGAATTACACTCAAGCTTTTTTTTTTGTCGAAAAGGAAACTCTACTTTATAATTCGAGTTTTGTTGTATTTAGGCAATTCAACTCAAATTGCCAGGCAACAAAATTCTCATTGCAATATCAAGTTTACTTTGACAAAAAAAGGCTCTAGTGTAATTAATTATAAGTGACAATTAACTTTCTAATACCAAATAACATCATGAGAGTGAACCAAGGCCTTTCTGTTACCATTCACCAGTGACTACAATCTAAAACTGGGATACGAATTATTCCATCTTATTCGAATTGCTCTTCATCTACGGAAATTTGTTTGTTGTCACAAGAAATGCCATTACAATTACCACATAGTATTGAACACGGAATATTCGACTTTATACATGTGCATAATTTGTTACATCCTGACTTGCAGTTGCAATATATGATATTCAGAACAAAATCAGGTGCCACTGCCTTTGACATAGTTTTTGGATCCAACATGTCTTTTTTTGCATCCCAACCCCAATGTGTTGGTTCTTTTTTATTATTAAGCCAATATTGAATTTGTAAGTAAGTCCTATAGTAATGATTCTCATTAGCTCCGTCTGAAGTTGGATGCAAAGTAGCTAACTCAAAATTCTTGCTAAGAACTTGACGAGATTTAAGGGTTTTGTATTTATAATATCTTAACTGATCTAAATCATCAATCATCAAACATTTTGTTTTGTTTTGCGATTTTCGCGCATTAAATAATTAAATTATCAAAACCGAATAATTAACAGAATTGAAAATTCATAAGTTGATAGATCGCTATGATACAAATTACTTCTCATTGTATTTGATAGATTTTTTAATTCTCTTCAATTTTCATGTCTTCAATTTTCTCAAAAAAATGTACCGTTTTCGAGTTATTCGCGGTTTTTCCCAAACAGTGCTATAATTCAAGATGACGGACAACTTTTTTTGGTGACGCAACAGTCGGAGGCATGGGGATTTTTAGTATGTTGGGGGCTAGGGCTACTTATTTTTGATAGTCGCAGCTTTATAAAAAAATTTGCATTTTCAACATTGTGAATTTCATAACTGCACTGGCCTACAGGAATTTTCCTCTGTACTCTTTCAATCTGTCCCCTGTATATCTCATAATATGGAGCCCTTTTATTTGACCAACTCTGGAGACCAGAGAGCCATCTACAGAGAAATTTTTGTTAAGGCTATTTTTCTTACGGTGAAAAGATGTGGCAAAACATTTTGAGATGTTGAGGTGCATGAGGTTTGATTTGCACCAACTTTCAAGATTCTGCGAGTCCTGGATCGGCTCACAGTCACTCCTATCCTCTACAACTCTGTATATTTTTAAGTCATCCAAGCGTACAACAAGCATTAACTATTAGTGATAGCGTCATCTTTATCATTGATGTGACAATTGAAAAGATCGGGAGTCCCCGATGTTGCAATAATGTCGGATGACTCTTTGGATATGGTTAGACGAGTAACTGCCAATCCATGCGAGGAAAACACCATGAACTCTTGATGCCAGCAGGTTTTTAACCCTTTAACGGGCAAAATTATCTTGAAACTATTTTATACAGAAAATGCTAATTATGTAGTCTTCTGGAAACAAGAAAAGATTCCACTAGCAATCGAGTTTTCAATTTTTTTCCTCTCTATATTAGGCGGTAAACCATTTTACCAGAGACCATTTAGGACTAAATATGTAGGTAGTGTTCTCTGGTACAAACCCTATACCACACCTCTATAAATGATGCAATAATAATATGGAACTTGGGTATCAGAATAAAAAACACAATAGCTTTCAAACAGATTTATAACAAAAACGAAATATACAATAACTGAAGAAAAATCACATCAAACTCTATAACAAATCCATAGTATCCTAAATATGGTCCCACATTTTTCCTATTCATCGGATATTGTGAAAACTGATTGACAAAATCAAAAACTAATCAGAAAAATATTTTAATAAAAATCAGTGCGATTTAAAAATTTTCATTATCGTTATCACACCACAAAATATTATTTTCAATAGTAAAATTGAAAATTGTATACATTTGAAAGAATATTTGGGAAAATTTTCCTAGCGCAAAAAGAACAGGATGAAAACTTGATTGATATTTTATGGAGATATGTATAGGAAGCATGTATCAAAATATGAATCTTGAACTAGGTGTAGAACTTATAGAAAAAATAATTCAAAATGTGTACAAAATTCACAAAATTAGTTCTAAGTTGTAAATATGTATAGTTTTTTACTAACAATCCGAGTACAGCATTAGAAATTTGAATTTATATCTATTCAGTATATAGACAATAATTACCTATTTGATTCGTCAAAATCCCTTCCGGATTATAAATATTGATAAAAAAATGAATTGAAGCCCATAAAACAACATAATTGATGTTTCTCGAGTCCCACTGGTATATATGGTGTACCACTATATATATACGACCGCATCCAGAAAAATCTTGTGATAAACTGTCGTCGGAGATCAACGTATATTCAATAACGATGTTTTTAGGATGATTACAACCAGATTTTTAGGCTTAAAATAAGGAATAAACAAGGTGGTACTAGGTTTACACCAGAGAACGTTAAAGGGTTTTAATAAGCAGCACATGATTCACTCTGTCAAAAGCCTTAGAGAAGTTGGGGAAAATTGGATCTACCTGACATCGCCCCTCCAAGGCTTCCAACAGACGCTGCTCATAAACCAGCAGATTTGTTATGGTTGAACGCCCCGAGACAAATCCGTGTTGGGCAGGTGAAAATAGCTGTTGAAATAATGGGCTCACTTTTTGTTGAATAATATCTTCAAAAATCTTATCAAATAGGGAGAACTTCGAAATGCCTCGATAGTTTACCACATTTGATCTGTCTCCTTTCTTATGGCCTGGGGTAATAAAGGTAAATTTCTAGTATTCCGGAAATACTCCCCCGTTTATACAGATACATTGAAGATGCGAGCAAAAATGGGAGAAAGGAAACACTGATAATTTTGAATAAAGACGGCCGGAATACCATCGGGGCCAGTGCTCAATTTATTATTCAACCTGGATATAAAATCGAAAACATCGACCGGCTGAATTTCAAGAGAAATCAGGTCTATTGACATTTTGTTATGGAAGCTTTGCGGGTCACTTGAATTTTCTGAGTGAACAGTTGCAAAAAACCTTCCGAAGAGGATAGCAATTGCCTGGAGATCCCCAGTCTCAATGTTCTCGTACACTATGGAGCTCGGCAAAGAGAAGCGAGAATTTTTCGAGCTACCATAGCTCCAAAATTTTGTAGTATTATTTTTTAATGAGGTCTCAAGTTCTGAGACATATTCCCGATATCTTTGATTATATATAAAGATGCTTACAAGACTTTCATAACTCTGAAAATTTATTGTAATCCTAAGTAGAGTTTGAGGTTTTAAAATTCTTATGGGAAAGCTTTTTTTGTAAAATTAATTTTTTGAGCTCCTCATTGAACCAAAATGACTCTGGCAGTGGTTAACATTATCCACCGTTACATCTATACTATTAATTTGATCCACAATTGAATCCCAGTCAACATTTGCCAAGAAGAAATAAATGTCTACATAATTGCAGTTAATAGAGTCTCCTTGAATATAATATCTAATTATATTCGAGTTCTGACATTTTCTTTGGCATTGGGATGTCAATGAAAAGTGGAGGATGATGAGCATCGCACCTTGTAAAAGGCTTGGTTGAGAGACTTACATTTACATCTAAGCTACTACTAAATAATAGAGCAAGTACATTACCAGAACATTTAAAAAAGAATTATTAAAAAAATGGCATCGCAGCGGCATTTAAAAGCGCTGGTAGATGATCCTTGTCTAATAGTAGAGGTTGTTACAGAGGAACACACATGAGTGATCTAACAGCTAGAATGGGCTATGAGGTTTTTGAAGAATGAACCCTACTAATTTTGAATGGTTATTTTGAATCAAATTGTTTCTGAAATTGTAAAACAAGATACATGCATCATTTAGAGGAGTAATACCGTCAACAGGAAGGTTAATATTATTCTCGATATTATTCTGTTGTTTTTGGGTATATGTAGACCAACGAAACCATGTGGTTTTGTTTTTTTAGCTACGTTCCGAAAAATTTATTTTCTTTTTCATGCTGTAACCAATCGAAACAGGACAATAATGAATGTATAATTCTAAATTCGAAAAAGCTACAGACGCAATATATTGAAGCATAATTACATTTCCTTTCTATGGGTTAAAGCACACAGTGAAATTGAAGGAAATGAATTCGTGGACGATCTAACAAAAGACAGTATCAAGGATGAGTTTCCTACAGAAAATGAACTTGGACTGAGTGATGCAAGTGTTTATGTTAAATCAGTGATAAATTATAAATGGAATCAAAGATGACAAAGTTACTGTAGAAATTCTCCTACGAAGTACTCTCTTTTTGTTTTAAGTATTCCAAATAAATATTGGCTTCAAAACTACAATGTCAGCAGAAGATATATTGCAATATTAACTTGTTTAAAGTTTGGGCATGCTTGTTATCCAGCACATTTAAACAAAATAGGTGTTCTACCCTCAGTGTGTAGGATAACATACCCGGGTTCGTTTGGCAAGATTGAACGGTGTGAATTTCTCTCTCTTTTTAAACAACAAACCTTATGAAAACGAAATGAAAAGCAAAGAGGACCCACGTTTTGGGAACTCAATTTTACTTACTTGACATGCTCCTGACATTAGCAAATATTAGGGAAATTTAAAGGAAGTTGTGATATGTAAAATAAACGAAACATTTGTGAAGCATCTAATTTATTATTAGAAAATCGTACCGTTCTCGACCTGGAACTCACGAGGAAAAAGAGCACGGCTGAGAAACCCTCGATCTAACATTCCTCAAAAATCAAACAGACATTTTAATAATTAATTGTGAGTCAATGAAAGTTTAAATTAGGTACCGTCCTTTGTCCTTGTGCTAGAATTTAAATTCCACACACTACATTCAATCAACACTATCTATAATCAAAACTGAAGAGTTTTTGATTAGTTAGCCAGTGTTACCAGCAGGTACTGAGGTCCCGTACGATAGGCTACTCGTACGTAAAAAAACAAAACCACTTGGTTTCATTGGCTTACATATACCCAAGAACAACACATTAATATCTACTTTACTGGATAAGAACTGTATATAAAAAAAAGGAGAATGGTTAGGTACCTACTTTGAAATACCTCGCTACAGGGGACTTATTCACAAGTTTGATATAGGTACACCGAATGTTGCTGCCAAGCAGTACTCACTAGAGCACACGTCAAACCAGTCTTCTTCTTTAATTTTGATGGAACTAATGTGATTCAATAATCATTTGAAATCAGAGTTCATTCTGCAAAAATTTTGAAAAAGTCCATAGCCCATTTCAGCTATTAGATCACTCATGGGTATGTTTCTCTGTACCGAGTTCTACTTTTGAACAAGAAAATAATCCACCAGCGCTTTTTCCTTCTCTGCCTTGAAAGCCCCTATTTTCGGATGCTTCACTTTTAATAATACCTATACGCTACACTTGCAATGTTTATTATTACATCCTGCTGTGACGTGTGACGCCAATTTTTTATATGAGGCTTTAATATTAAAAACAAAATATACCTGCGAAAATAAACGAATGAATGTTAACGCATTCTTTCGTTCGTAGGTGGACACAATAACCAATTTTATAGCAAGTGGCGAACAAATTCGGGCAAATTACATGGCCTTCCTTCGCTGTATCAAAGTCTGAATGAATACGCGCCCTTACGCACAGAATGTGTTTTTTTTTCTAGAGTCAAATCATGGCAATCCAGTACCCTGTTTTCGCTGCAAATACAACAACATACATATACAGACAAGAAAAGGGTGCAAGTTGCAACGACTCCGAAATGCTTCAAATATCAAAAAATATATTTTTTACCTACCTACCTACCTAGTTAGCTACTGTCTAAAACCTACTTGCCGCTTTTGAATCAAAAATTAGAAATGAAAAATATAAATGCGGACAAGTCAATTCTATTTCGGAATGTCTATATGATAAATGCAATAAAGATGTAAACAATTAACATGGTGAGCAATGTTGTAAATCTTTATGTTTGAATTATGAATTATTTCCTTCAGATTACGCTACTAGCTTTAAATATGTTTATTGTTAGGCTGTGAGTACTTGAATGGACAGAATATAGTGGAAAATACAAATTTACTTACCAACCCAAGATATACCATTTTCATTCAATACAATCGTTTCCCCAGCAACTCCGCCACCCAAATTGGGTATCAACATAGCGGGTACACCCATCGTTAGCCCATAAACCAATAATAATATATTTTTGATGCTCACCGCTAAAATTTGAGGCATGCATCTTCTAACTTTGGACACTTCGTCTTTTTCATCAATATTGCTGCAATTTGTTGAGAGATTCATTTTTGGTATCTGGTATGAAAGAGAAAGTTGTTTTGGTTAATGGTGCTTACACCTTCACTAAAAAATATGGGCATTCCATTTGTATTTAGCTGTCTCAATAATCTGGTGATAAAAGCTTAATTAGGTTAAAAAAGTCATCTTTAGTACAACAAAATTATCTTAATTCTTTTATTTCATTGTTTTATGCGGCCTCATAAAGATAATTTTTCATTGAGTCAATCAAGACTGACACCAATATTTTTAAGCAATAGTCATACCAGGTCAAATAATTCCGAATTTAATATGTTGAATGTTACCATACATCAAAAAAATGACCCCGGTAAAGCAAAAGTGTGATTAAAAAAATGTCGAAAGGTTATTAAATAGAAACTGATAACCTATTATAGTTCAATGCATGTTAATATTGTTGAAACGTGGTTGTAACCATAAAAACTCCCTGGTTTAAAAAATATTTTTTAATTTAAATAAGTACCTAATTAATAATTTATCTACCGCAAAGTAAAAATATTACATCTTATTGGGCTACCTGCCTTTCATATTTTTCTCGGAGTCATAATGAATATAGGTGGGTATTGAAGACTTCTTAAACTTAATAGGGAACTTGCACGAAATATTTAAAACTGGATTAATAATAGTGAAAAACACAAACAGACACCCTAACAGCGCCTACACACTAGACAATCCTAAGCGAACGAATAGAACCACACGTTAAGTATGCGTTTGCAGAGTGTATACTAGGAAACGCACTTGAAACACCGTATGCGTTTCCTTTTGGCCGTGTTCGGCAGCAAGTACGTTTAATTTGATCCCTCAAAGCACCTGTTGAACGACTGATGTTTTATTCTCTAGCTAAAATCTAGAAATCATATTGATTATCGCCTAAAAATAAACCGGTACGACAAAAAAATGTTGTTATGATAGTTACAGATTCGCAAAACAAAACTGAACAAAACAAATTATGCACGACCAAGGTAAGTGTTAACTGACGTCACCATCAATTATTATTTAGCTTTTTGCCGCCTCATACTCAAATTATTATACAGAGTGTCACCATGGGAATTTTTGTATTGCCAAGTTTAGGCAAATCTAGGGTTTAAGAACAGTTTTCGATTCGAAATAATTCAAAATGACGTTATTCCTCTCAAATTTGACATATTTTACCAAAAAAGTACAGAAAGTTAAAGAAAGATTATTTCCCAAAGCTTCCAAAAAGGTTAATACAAAAGTTGTTTCTCTTTCATTTTTCCACGCACCTACCAAATTTTAACCATTATCTGATTCCTCGACCTGCTTCATATTATTTCCGCTCATTCAAATTCAATTAAATCTTATGATGTAGGTAATATACTCGTCGTCTGGAAAAAAGCTCTAGTTTCAATATTTAAAACCAACATTTGAATTATGAATTTCGGTAAAAACTAAAAAGGGCATTTCATTTTTCAACTCAAAAATGTCATACTCACAAACCAAAATTTTCAAATCTATTGGTCAGTTTATTAGAACACCACTTCCCAAATTAGTTTATTTATAATAGAGTTGTCCAAGGTTGTACAAATTGGTGAAACCGATAAAAAAAAACGTACACAATTAACATTTTTCATGAAGCAGCATTCCTAAATTTTCGTAATCAAAATTATAAAAAAAATCCCATGCGATGCGGACTTTATTTATAGTGGCGACACTGTATCAAACTATATATTATATTAATAATAATGATCATTTTTTCAAACACGTTTCATTAAACCTAACCTGTGGCGAACGAAAGCGAACCATCAGAACATCACTTGTGCGGTTTCGTGCACTTGTGTTCATTGTTCACTGAATAAAATAACGGTGTAGTGAAACTGAAACAATAGTTATTTATGTATCAAGGGAATTATGAGAGTGTTAATACCCCAGGGTAACGTCTGTGTCCCGAGGGCCTCTGGCCCGAGGGGCACCAATTGCCCGTGGGTATAAACACCTGAAAATTCCCGTGGTACATAGATAATTTTATATCCTACTGAATTTACTGTATTCAGTCTATTTTTATAAAGGAATAAACCATAAATCAAAATTTCTATTTTTTCTCAAAGCTTTACCTATTCAAGGTAAAAGCGGGAATTATGGAAATCCTTAACTCCCGCGCGAGAGTTAAGACCCTGTTTATGATTATTGTAACCAAGGTATTATATGGTTATAATAGTTCAGTAGGATATAAATTAACTAAATACATTGATTAAATAGTAGGAAAGGTAACCTTAACAGCAACTGCCAAATGTTTTATTCCATATTTTAGGTACCGCATTTGCCATAACTAAAGGTCAATTTATATAAATATAGGTAATATAACTGATGATGGTTTTGAGAATCGTTATAAATTGTCTCCAAAAAGCGTAGATTTCTGCCGAAGGAAGCTACTTATCTAGGTGTCAGTTGGCCCACTTCTTCTGGTGACAATATTGCCCCCTCGAGAAATATGAGCCTCTTGCAGAATTGGGCTGGGCATTCGCAGGGCAGGTGCTCTGCGGTCTCTTTTGCGTCTGAGGAGAATCTGCAGATATCGTCTTCTGCTCTGCCCATTAACCTCAAGTGGTATTTCACTAGGCAGTGTCCTGTGAGCAGTCCTACGACCATTCTGATATCTGGTCTGCTCATGTTTAGAAGCTGTTGAGCTCTTTTTGCTGAAAGGGTGATAAACCTTTTTGACTGTCTTCCCGGAATGAGCCTCCAATATGATGACAGTTGGTCTTTCTCCCATTTGTTGAGTTCTTCCATGATGTGGCTTTTCGTTAAGCCACAGTATGGCTCTGTTCCATGGTATGGTGTTGAGGCCCCTTCTTTGTGAGGCTATCTGCTTCTTCGTTTCCAGGCAGCCACATGAGCGTTACCTGAGCCAATTTTAAGCGATTGACCAGTCGGTCATCTTGGTATTTAACGACAGTTAAAGGAGCATTTACATTCACTTCTAACTTCAATTTAAATTTGATGTTTGATATTTTATCATTTACATTGCAGAACAAAAATGTCAAGTCAAAAGTCAGAATTTTATGAGAGTCCTGATGATGAAAAATCTAAAAATTTGACATTTCACAAATTTCTATTTGCCCTCGGCAAGCAGCTTGACCAAATTTGAAGTGCACTTCGAAGTGAACTTTGAATTTATTTCAATGTAAATGGATCTGTGCTGTCGCCATATGGCAAGCGCGGCAATTTCAAGACAAATTGGACTTTGAAAAGAATGTAAATGAACCATAAGACAAATGACGCTTAATTAATGGTTTATCTATCAAGATAACGGATCGGTCATTGGTCAATCGCTTAAAATTGGCTCTGGTTGTGTGTCGCTAGTGTTTTAAGGGTCTGTTTACACTCCCAGACTAAGTTGTGAGGTTGAAAGCCCTTAAGGCTTTCAAGGCAGCTTGACTATCTGATAGTTTAAAGATACGTTTTCCTTTGAGGCTTTGGTTGGGACACTTCTTGTGCTTGTGCACATATGTTAACGGCAAGCAGTTTGGCTTGAGATACTGTAAGATGTTTGCCCAATGCCTTGGAGAGCTTAAAATTAGGGCCGCAAATGCCCGGTCCCGCTCCCTTCGTTAGTTTGGATCCATCTGTGTACCACAGAGATGCATTGTCTGCTTGTTGTAATTCTTTATTCTCCCATGATTGGCGCTCGTTTATTACCACTGCGAATGAGATCTCTCAGTCCAATCTGACGATCGTGTGGTCGCTTAGTTTGCTTGAATTCTCTAGTTTTATTATTTCAAAGATGCGCAGATGTTCCCTCAGATCACCAGGCTTGAACTTGTCTGTTTGGAATAGCCTGTGAGCGCTGATTATTGCCTCCTTTTTCACACATAGGTGAAGTGGAGGCATGTTAAGCAGCGTCTCTAGGGCTGCGGTGGGACAGGTCGACATTGTTCCCGTTATTCCTAGGCATATGTTTGTAACCGTGCTATAAATGGTAACTGAGAATATATGTGATATTCTTGTTTTTCTCACTATTCGTCTCTAACTAACAGGTTGAAGGTATATATGCAAGTGCCAGCATGTTTACTTTGATTTTAACCTACTATCTGAGCTGAAAACATTGACCACGAGACAGATTTGCCGCTTATGTTAATAAATATCCGAATGTCCCGATTCACCCCTTAGTCCCGATTCGCCCCGTTTGACGGTATTATCCGGTAATCCTGAAACCTCTTGTGGTATTACATTCGACAATAAATTCGGTATTCAGCTGACAATATTGCTACCTGGACAATACCAACAACATGATATTTCAGCGACCATTGTTTGACATTGTCAAACTGATATTTTGCTGACAAAATTTTTTCTCTTGTGATATTTATATATGATAAATGTTTCATCCGCCAACATCGCACAATGAAAGTGCAAAGGAATAAGTCAAGTATAATCTAACATAACCTTAAACGACACTGCGATGAGTTCAGCGCCCGGATTCCGAACCCACGATTCGATAATATATCATCCATATAAAATAGATAGACGATACTATCGAATGGTGGGTTCGGAATCTGGGCCCAGAACTAATACGTAAAGTACCTATAAGTTTACTCTTTGGCGCATTACACCTTACAAAGAAAGAAGGAACGATTACTTCTGGACTCGCCCATGAATTGAAATATGACGCAAGCCCGTAACAAACGTCACTTTCTCACCTGCTTGCCACAGGCTGCGCGCAAGGTTGTTTGAGAGAGGTGGATTGCCTGATAACTTTATGACGACATTTGGGGTGCTTCAACATAATGCAAATCTCCCATAAGGTACCCCAGATGCGTCATCAAGTTACCTATTACCAGGCAACCTATTAACTTTAGGAACCTTCTGCTGCGCGCGCCGATTCAAGTATTACGAGATAGGTCAATGAGGTACCAGATGACATTACATTAAGCCTATAACCTCACTTTCGATTGGGGGACATTAAGGACTATTCACACACATCAGTTCAAATCACTTTGAACCTTTTTTGTTATCTTAAGGAATGCTTTAAAATCTGAAATCTGAAAAAAACTACGATAATTTATTGTTATTTTGCTGATTTAATCGTTTAAACAAGTGCGCAAATATGTGTACGTACATATCGTGTGTTTGGCCCAATAACATGTCTGTCCCCCTATTGAAAGTGACGTTATGTGATTTGTGATACGGCACGTTGTAAATAAACTGCTGGACAAATGAAGCGGAACAAGGGAATTTTTAGTTTAACTTTGGATTCGAATATTACGAGAACCAACGAAGAAATCAAAGAGCGGTTTGCGTTTCACCATGCAAGAAGAAAAGGAGGGAGAAAAAACGCTTCTTTCAAATTACGCAAACCGCTCATTGATATCTTTTTTGGTTCGCGTAATATTGGAATTTAAAGCTAACCTAAACGTGCGCTCGTGCGCATGTTCCATTTCATTTGTCCAGCAGTTTAGTTCTTACGGGTCAATTCTGTGCACAACTGCAAGCAAATCTATAAATATCTATAGGCCTAGAGACACTGCAAAACGGATCGCTTGCCGAATAACTGATCGGAAATATATACGATCCTATAAGAGATTCTGTAATCTACAGAAAGTGCAAAATTGCAAATTGTCTCTAAGCAGCTATAGGCTTATAGAAATTTATAGATTTGCTTACAGATGTGCACAGAATTAGACTATCCAAGATGCTGTCAAACTTAAATTAAAATGTCCGCCAAGAGGCACACAAACCTTTTCTTTGCTTGTCAAAGTGACGTGTTTTGGATAGGCTGACTATTGAAGGTGCTGTCAAACTTAAATTAAAATGTCCGCCAAGAGGCACACAAACTCTTCGTTTGCTTGTCAAAGTCGCGTGTTTTGGATAGGCTAATCGACTCTTTAATGTCCCCCCATCGAAAGTGAGGTTATGAGTTTAATGTCATCTAGTGCCTCATTAGACTATTCAAGAT